CGATGCTAAAATGGCCCCTCTCGGCCCCCCGCCCCGGGCTGCCCACGGGCGCAGGGGCCTGTCGTGGGGTTCGATGGGTTTTAAATCCAGGGGAAACCAGGACACGCCAGGCCTGCTGACCCGCTTTCTTATTTAGTGCCAGCGTCAGGCAGTGAACACACTTGTGCACGTTTCACAAGCCTTAAAGACCACGGCGCTGCAATTTCTAAAATGGCCCCTCTCGGCCCCCCGCCCCGGGCTGCCCACGGGCGCAGGGGCCTGTCGTGGGGTTCGATGGGTTTTAAATCCAGGGGAAACCAGGACACGCCAGGCCTGCTGACCCGCTTTCTTATTTAGTGCCAGCGTCAGGCAGTGAACACACTTGTGCACGTTTCACAAGCCTTAAAGACCACGGCGCTGCAATTTCACCTCTCGATCCAAAGCCGCGCACACAGCGCGAAGCAACGCAAAAGCGCTTCCCGGCGGATCTACTGCGGCGTCACTTCACCCCCATGCCGCCTGCAGCGCCAGGCAGGAGGGCGTGGACCCGTCGCTTCCCACCCTTAGGAACGCCACCACGGGGCCGTGTGGGTCGGCCCTGCCCACTCCCAAGCTGGGGGGAGAGGTGGATACGCTGGGGGGCAGGGAAGGGTCCAGAGGGACCTGGACAGATCAGAGGATTGGGCCACAAGAAATCTGATGAGGTTCCACAAGGGCAAGTGCAGAGTCCTGCCCGGGGGACAGAAGAATCCCAGGAATCCCGGGCGTTGGTCCAGGCTGGGGGCCGACGGGCTAAGCAGCCGTTCTGCAGAAAGGGACCTGGGGGTCCAGTGGGTGAGAAGCTGGAGATGAGTCAACAGGGGCCCTTGTAGCCAAGAAGGCGAATGGGATATCGGGGGGGGGGGGGCTTGCGTTGCCAGCACATCTAGAGAACTGTTTATTCTCCTTTATTCGGCTCTGGGGAGGCCACATCCCGAGTATTGTGTCCAGTTCTGGGGCCCCCACTGCAGAAGGGATGTGGACGCATTGGAGAGAGTCCAGCGGAGGGCAACCAAAATGATTCGGGGGCTGGGGCACATGACTTACGAGAAGAGGATGAGGGATTTGGGCTTATTTAGTCTACAGAGAAGAGGGAGGGGGGATTTGAGAGTAGCTTTCAACTTCCAAAGAGGCTAGAGAGAGGCTGTTCTCAGTAGTGACAGATGGCAGAACAAGGAGCAATGGGCTCAAGTTACAGTGGGGGAGGTCGAGGTTGGATATTAAGACAAACTATTTCCTTAGGAGAGGGTGAGGCACTGGGATGGGTTCCCTAAGGCAGGGTTGGAATCTCCATCCCTGCTGGGGCCCCTCCCCTACCCAGGGTGGCCGTTAAACGTCGTGCGTCGTCAACGGTTCTGTGACTGGGCCTGTCCTTTCTGCTTATCAGAACCACGCGCCAGAGCACGGCTGCTTGGGAATGCTCTGGGGCCTTTCCAGCGTGGCAGAGCCGTCTCGCTCCGGCCCCGTCCATCACGTCGGCCCACGACGGCTCGGAAGAGTCCGGCCCGGCCCGCGGGGGGAGGCCTGGGCTGGGAGTCGCACGAGGGGGGGGGGGAGGGAGCGAAGACAGCGGTGGGGT